GGTGTTTAAGCCCTCAACCTAACGGCCCCCTGGGCCGTAAAGAAACGAAAGATGTTTGTGCTGATTTGGGTGTTGTGTGCCTCCCTCCTGTGGGGTTTAATTTGGCTTTGTAGGCTTTAAAGCTTGAGCGCAGGATTTGTGGATCTTAGGGCCGCGGCGTGGGGCTTTGTTCCTTCTGCTTACCGGGCTCTTGAGGTAGAGTACCAAGACCCTCCAAGTACCTTCAAATAGGGGTATATGGTGCCAAATTAAGGGTATTTAGGGTCTAATAGAGGGTAGATGGAGGGTCTAGGTATCTTCCAATCATGGAGGGGGTGGTTACATACCAACGAACAGCAGCTCTTAACCAGAGTAGCCAACTTGTGTTCTACAGTGGGGGCTGGATGGATGATACCTTGCACCCCCAAGCCTGAAGACTAGGCCTAAACCTTTTTTTCGAAGAAACACTGAACCTCACTACGGCTCAACTAGAATTTGATCGACTTCCATGCGCTCGAGGGGAGCGTTCTTGGGGAGCCAAGGTTGTTTCCAGGGTTGGGGGGTTTAGGGTTTAAGGTTTTAGGGTTTTAGGGTTCCGGGTTTTTGGGTTTAGGGTTTAGAGTTTAAGGATTTAGGGTTTAGGTCTCAGGCTGTCGGGGAAATAGGTTCGAGCTCTCTAACAGCAAGCGAGACTTCAATAGACCGATTGAAGGTGGCTACAGAAAAATTGCCTTCTAGTTATACGCGTTCCCATACTTAGGATGCTTTCATTCAGGATCTTTGTTGATGCAACCACATCCTGCCTTGATCACCTGAGGGAGAAGTGACGGCGGCATCAGGGAGGGCAACACCCAGTGAGGCCTGCTCGCAAAAGAGCTTTAGGCACGGTTTACCTGGGACCCCAAAGACCTACCTTTTTTAAGGAACTATATATAGAATTCATAATAAGGAACCCTGAAAAGGTATGTCTTTTCGGCTACAGGTTGGGTTTTCGGTTCGGGCTTATTCAGCTTATTAGGTTCAGGATCGATCTGTCCTCCAGCTGAACACTGGAACTACACGGAATACACAAGACCCGCGCAGTCCGCAAGTCCCAGAGGGGGGGGAAGGGGGGTCGCTGGGGCCAAGAAGTAGAAACGACCCTGCAGCGCCCGCCTCCAAGCCGAAGGCAACAATTCCACTCTTTCTGCGAAGTGCAGCTTCGAAACTCAAGCTTTGCAACGGGTGGCCTGTAGAATTCCTGGTTAAAGCCAATCATCTCCAGCCAGAAGGCTGGATACCCAATGTCAGAGACCTGAACATATTGCATGGGCCATCCGAGTCAAAGGGCATGTGTGGATAATCACAGGGCCAGACGTACAGGGCAGCCGCCACTTCATGCTTGACATCCTTCTCGATATCCTTATTAATATATAGTAACCCTCAAGCTTAAGAAACGGACTTGAATTCCGGCAGCGATGCTCCGGCCTGGTGAGGTGTTTCCGGAGGGTAGTTGTAGAACATGTCGTTGTATCTGACCTCGCACAGGATAGCCCCAATGTTGGGTAAGTGACAACCGATTGATGCCATGTGATGGGCAAGAAGTCAGTTTCCACTGTTAAGCTCAGCTTTCACGTCATGTGAAGTGTTAACTGCATCAAATACTTGCTGTATACTGTATTCATAGTCGCCATTCCCACTCGAACTCTTCTCGTAATTGTGAGTCTGTTACATTGCACGGTTTTGCCGTTGTTGTGGTTGGGGTTGAACTTCTGCAAGGCAAGGCTTTGTTTTCGTTGTTGCTTCCGGCATTGTTAATTTTGCTGGCGATCTGTTGTTGAGGGTGCAGGTGGTGGCCAACGCATTGCTACGGGTATTTAATACATGTGACGGGCAAATAGTAGATGTACTGTGCCAAATAAATGGCGCTAATATGGGTCCGCATTTTTGAACGATTGCAGGGACGTCCTGCATCCACCTTACCGTAAGTTGTTGTTGCCGCCAGTGCCGCCAGCGTGAAAATTTGACAGGCTGTGACAAGTTCTAGCGCGACATCGTCGTAAAACAGGGGCACATATTCGGTCCAAGTGGCTACCAGCATGTCTGCCAAGGCCCACCATTCTTCGGTGATGTTGCGCTGCAGCTTGCCTCACAGTTTCCGAATCACCCAAAACCGGATTCCTCCAACCCAAAACACTGAAACTTGCTTACAGCGTGGGATTGCTCGCTCGTGCACAGAGCTTTACGCCTGCTCGCACACCATGGTGCATGAAGCAAGGAGAACACCCCAAAAGAAAGGAACGGTAGCTATTCAGTGATTCAGTAAGGGCCTACATCGATTTTTCATAACCCTATAGCCTAGCCACTTACGTGGCTGGTTGCTGTCTGTACGCCTGTTGTTAGAGCAGGATACAAGGATATAACTAGAGTAGGAGGGCTCACCTTCAGTCAAATAACACCCGCGCTTTTATTTTTTAGGGTACCAAAGGTTCAAACTTTCAGAACGGCACTACATCATAAGAACCCCACCAGATGTTACAAGTTTGGCATTGCACAACCACGAAACAACAAACTCTCCCAACTATTGTCCCTGCTGCTGACTACGCCCCCCGCTAAGGCCTAAGCCCGACAGCAGCGCACTTGTACGTTCCTACCAGTCCTAGAAACGGGTCATGAACCCACATGAAGCCGTGTCTCTCTGATAATCCGCCAAATGCTTCGCGGCAGATTTGGCGTGCATCTTGTCCTGATGTTCAGGTTTGGGTTTGGGCATAAGCGTTTAGAAGGTTCAGGGGCCCCCTGCTTCAAGTCAGACTTTACCTCGGTGTAGAGGTCTGAGATTGTCAGGCCCGTCTTTGAAGAAATGGGTTCGCCCCTTTTCGTGTGGCAAACCAGAAGCGGCAGGGATGTTCAAACAGAAGGGGGGAGGGGCTGAACCTTCGAATCTCGTGCGACGGGTTGGTACATGTTGGTAGAAGAACGGCTTACTATGCAACAACATCAACACCCTTCCTGTACACACAACTACGTATGTAGTTTTGCTCGTATAATTGTCTACATACACCTGTAGCTACATGTTTGATACATGTGGATACGTTTGCATTGCGACTCTAAAAATGCTACATGTGTGTATACAAGAAGTGAAAACATAAATAAACAAAACTATGTATATATATATATACTTATATATATATATAGCATGTTGCATGTTTATACAACTGTACGTACTGCGCTGAAACTCGGCAAGCCGCCGACAATGCTGAACACTGGGACTCTCGGCTTAAGGAACGGGTCGCGTGGAGGTTACTGGGTTTTGGCTTCTCTTTGGATTTGGGCAGTTGCTAAGGAGCCACGCTGGCTGTGAAGCTACTCGCTACGGCAACAGATAAAATGAAACTCACAAGGTACAGTAGACTTCAAACTCTGAACAGCTTTCTCTGTAGATGCGTGCTGGTAGGAAACAAAGGGGCTAAGATTTCGCAACCTCCTCTGACAAACACGACCGGAAGCTTTTTAGAAGCACCCGTTGCTCAAATTGCGTGCGATCGGTTAGCAAAGCCTGGGTTGGGCTTGCCTTACTTCTGCTCTGACAATCCCAACGGAGCAAACCATAGGTCCTGTCCACTCCTCGTGGCTGCAAGCCTCAGCCCTGAATCCTAAATATCTCTAAACCTCAACCCCTTGAAGCCCAAACTCCCTAAACTCTTAAGTGCAAGACAAACACAGAACATATCCGAGGCGAGGCACGGATTTCCGAAGAGCTTCTTCTGTTTCTTCTACGACGCGCAGCTGCGTGCTTTGCACCGCCGCGTACACGTACTGCTCCTCTGGCTGAATTTGCCAGGGCGTGGTGCTGCAGAAGTAGCGTTTAAGGTTCAAGGGCGTAATACCGGGTCTATTATATAGGGAGGAGCCATATGAAATATGGTTCTGGAAAGCCTTTTCATGTGACTTCCGCGGCGACGTCATGTCGATCCATGCGTAGCTCGGGTCATGCAGTTGAGGGGTCTGAAGAGGAGTAGAGTTTCGGGGGTCGTTGGGTCTTGGTTCACAGGCGTCTCGGTAGCAAAAGGGAGGCCGCCAATCTCAAGACACGCCTATGAAGCCCCAAACCCCGAAGTCCTACTAAACTAAACCCTGGAAGCCTCAAGCCCTGAAGAACTCTCTCTCTCCCTCTCTCTCTGTCTCTCTCACAGACTCAGTCACCTGTCAGCCGCGACGCAAGGCACAGCGATTTCGCTATGTGCGTGTATCTACAAAGAAGTGACATGCGAGAAAAGGGACTACCGAAACCACTACAATGATTTCACATGCAGTGCCCATTCATCAGGAATTTCTTCGATGCCGAGTTGAGGCAACTGATGCAAGTTATGTGTGTGCATAATCGTCCGCATGAGCGCGCCATGCACTGATACGACGGCAGCAGGACATAGCAGTTGAGGGACCCCTGCAAACCCCGACAGGTGAAAAGATTTGGAACACGCTGGTTCGGAGGGTCCGGTAAATTCTAAGAACACACACACACACAAACTGCAAGGCACTCAGGCGAATGTGCACCCGCAACTGAAAGCACCCTTTATACGACGTGGCAGAACATGCAAACAACAGCTTCTAAGTGTATGCAGAGCTTCTGACATGTTCTGGTAGGAGATCTCCATCCAGTTTGCCACAAAGTCCTCGGATGGAATGATGTCCGAGCCGGAGAATGCAACGGTGCGAACATCCGTTGCTGTGACATGCTCAGTGAGGAAAGCATACCCCATAGGTTGAGTTAGTCTGAAACTTAACAATGGTATAATCTAACCATTTAGTCATAACCGTGACTAATAGTCAAAACTCGTTTATGGATATATATATATACCCAATAGACCAAACAAGCCAGAAAAGTTAGCTTTGGCTCCGTGGGCAAATTTTGCCCGCAGCGGCAAATTTTAGCTTCGCAGCGGCACTTT